TTGATGGCCTAAAAAGGTAAAAGCAACATAAATACTGTTCGTTTTCTCACACAAACCGCTCGTTTCGTGTCTTAGGCCATCAATGTGTACTTACATTTACGAGTCATTATATCATGTTTAATTTGGACTTCTCTGTGCATGCTCTTTGAGGTGGTGACCATAGACCTCCATTATATGACTGACAGACAAGAACGGTTTGACCTAAAAATATTAAAACTACTGTGGAAACAAAGACACCTACATCTTGGATGCCCTTGAGGTAAAATCTAAAAACATACCAAAAATTAATTTCAAAGTGAACTATTCCTTTAAGTTTTTTTTTTTTTTTAAAGAGTAGCATGTTTTTTTTTATTTTTTTATATATTCTGTGGATAGCGAAGGGATTTTTTAAAGAAAAAGGGGGGGGAAGCCTTTTCTTTCAGGATAAAGGTTGCTTAATGCCCCAGGATACTTAATCAGCTGGTTATTGGTTATTAGATTGGTTTCTTATAGAGAAAAACTAAGCTCCCGAAAAGTTTGCCCTCCATTTAATCAGATTTTTGCAAAAGAGAAACTCGTTTGTTCTCTCCTTCAGGCTGTTCATATATGTAAATCTAAACTAATAGTCTGGTTATGAATGCATGAAACCATGAATACTTTTCCTGTGGAATACGGCGTGCCACTTATATCCGGATATGAGTGGAATGAGTCATTAGTTCGGCTTAAAACAGTCTTATTCAATGTGTGTCAGAGCAGGATGGAAGCAGATATATTTGCAAATTACTCATTCCCAAGAATTCTGGGATATGCATTGGCTCCACATGCTCATTCGGAGATAATGCAGCCGGGGAAATTATACATCCACACATATCCGTGGACTAAGGCCTTTTCTGTGCTGCGAAGCCCCGCTTTATTCCGCTGACCAAGCGTCTAATGCATATTGTTATTCGAGCTGATTGGCCGAGCTCTAACAACTATGAAAATGACTTTTTGCCCATCAAAAGCTTCAAAGGTCTCTTGTGTGCCAAAGCCAGTGTTCAACCCTGACCTGTGAGCAGCATGCAGAGATCTCACAGGAGGGAAGCGTTCGCACAGCACAGCCTCGTCTTTGTGTGTGTCTGGCGCGTGAGGGGTTTTAGTAGTTAGTGTGTAGATTTAGAAGTCTATTTGTTTGCTCGATTAGTTTGGCATAAAGTATTTCCATGGCTCTCTTGATTTCATTTACCGTAATTACCGTCCAGCGATAGACTCAGGGAAGCTTGAAATATCAAGGCCATGGCAGACCAAACAAATGAGCTGATTAATTGGAACTGTATCAATGAGTTATTCAGATCTCGTGGGCAGTCGGAAAAAAAATATTATTTCTGGATCTCATGGAAACTTGTCCTGATAACATTTCAGTTTAAAATCTTTGAACTTAAAATCAAACATTGAACACTGAACTTAAAATCAAAAGCAAAACATTAGTATATAAATGATTTTCTTCTCAAGCCCCGCCCACAGTGAAATGTAATTGATCAATTGATTTACTTTCCAGGGGTGCGTTTCCCGAAAGCATCGTTAGCCAACTACGGTAGCAAGTTCCATCGTTATCATAGTTCAATGAGTCGGTGTTTCCCGAAACAATCGTTCCAGCGAACATTCGCAAACAGCATCGCAAAGTTGTGTGGTTTGAACGACAGCTCTCGACCTGTGGTTAGAGGCATAGTTTCTATATTGCACGACATTTGGACGTAATAAATCCTTATCTTGAGCAAAATAAGCAAACCTGTGCCTTTTATTCAGAAAAATCTACTCTGTTTTTCTGAATTAACGAGTTACTTTTTCATGAGAAAAAAAAAATTTGCTCTGTTTTTTCTGAATTAATGAGTTAATTTTTCATGAGAAATTTTTTTTTGCTCTGTTTTTCTGAATTAATGAGTTAATTTTTCGTGAGAAAAAAAGTTTTTGCTCTGTTTTTCTGAATTAACGAGTTAATTTTTCATGAGAAAAAAGTTTTTGCTCTGTTTTTCTGAATTAATGAGTTAATTTCTCATGAGAACATTTTTTTTTGCTGTTTTTCTGAATTAATGAGTTAATTTTTTGAGAAAAAAAGTTTTTGCTCTGTTTTTCTGAATTAACGAGTTAATTTTTCATGAGAAAAAAGTTTTTGCTCTGTTTTTCTAAATTAATGAGTTAATTTCTCATGAGAACATTTTTTTTGCTCTGTTTTTCTGAATGAATGAGTTAATTTTTCATGAGAATTTTTTTTGCTGTTTTTCTGAATTAATGAGTTAATTTTTTGTGAGAAAAAAAGTTTTTGCTCTGTTTTTCTGAATTAACGAGTGAATTTTTCATGAGAAAAAAGTTTTTGCTCTGTTTTTCTGAATTAATGAGTTAATTTCTCATGAGAACATTTTTTTTGCTCTGTTTTTCTGAATTAATGAGTTAATTTTTCATTAGAAATTTTTTTTGCTCTGTTTTTCGTTTTTTTTCTTCAAGTGAATGCAATACGCCTCCGTAAATTTGCGTCTTTTAGTTTGTCAAAAGATTTAAAGTACCGTGTTTGAAGAGTGCGCATGTGCGAACGTGCTCTACTACGTAAGAACGAGCCAAATATTAAGTCTGGTAATAAAGCAAAACAACTGAGAACAATTAGAAATAGTCCTCAGATAACATGTGCGTAATTTATATATTAAAAAAAATCTAGCGTTAATTGGATCTCAGTTTCATTAAAAGTAGTTATCACTCCACCACGTGCGAAACCAACGTGGTTGAACGATACTTTGCGACAATGGGTTTCGGGAAACAGTCGTGACTAGCTAGTTGATTTCTCCAACGATGCATCGTACTATGGTAGTGAAGCAGCGAGCTGCATAGTTGTATGGGAAACGCACCCCAGTCCGAATGCAATGATACAATGTCCTACCTGCCCTTTCAGCATATGTAATTTTTATATCTCGAAATGTCCAATTAACGAAATGACTCGGGAAAAGATTTGTTCATTTTGACAAACGAGTTCGAACAAGAGAGTCACAAACGCGCATCACAGAACAGAGCAAGGCGAGCGTTTGTGCTTATAAAACTTAAACTTATGAGATCGTTTCACTGGATAAGACCCTTATTCGTCGTCTGGAGTCGTTTAAAGCCCTTTGAAGCTGCACTGAAACTCTCATTTGGACCTTGAACCGTTTGGTTCCCATTGAAGTCCATTATATGGAATGTTTTCATCAAAAACCTTAATTTCTTTTCGACTGAAGAAAGAAAAACATTGACATCTTGGATGACATGGGGGCGAGTAAATTATGCGCAAAAGTTTATTTTTATTTTTTATTTTAAGTGAACTACTCCTTTAAGTTATGAGCATTATTAGTGTAATGTTATGTGCTTTGAGACATGAGGTAGTTTCCCATGTGAAGCTTTTGTTTGCTCCTTGCTGTCCGCGTTCATGTGTTTTGAAGGAGGTGTGTCTTCTCTGCGGAGACGCTCTGAAGGGAGGGTGGGACCTTATGCTTTCAAAGCTAGCTCTGAAAATCCCCTACCCTTCCTTTTAATTATCATGCAATTAATATCACAGTGCAGGATCATCAAGTGTGTAATCAATTTTGGCGTAATGTTTCCAAACAGGTTTCCTGAACACTCCCCGTCTGCCATTGATCTGAGTAAGAAACAAATTAAGGAAGAAAGTGTTTGACCATTTATTTTCAGTTCCCACTGCTGGTTTTGGCTTTGTCTTGATGCTGCATCACCGGAGGAAAATAAGAAAGCTCTGAAAAGGTTGAATCAGCATTTCTAACAAAGCAATGTTTTCCAGGGAGGTGGCCAAGGTCTTGTGAAATATTGAAAGGGTGAAAGATTGAGACCTCTCAGAAAATGAAAAGAAAATAGCTGATCTTCAGCAAATATGACTTACGACTTCCGACCATCAGACAGGCTATCAATCATTGATCAAACAAAACTCACTGTGGATGTTTTGTGTGAGTGTTGTTTAACTTTTCATCTCTCTGTCTTCTTGACTCTGGAGCTATCTGGAACACTTAGTGTGTTCAGAAGTCATACGCTGACAAAACACTGCACAGTATCAAGAGATTTTTTCTGTTTTAATGTTGTCAAACCCTGGAAGGGTGAAATAGTAGCACAAGCTTGATGACTGTTAGAATAAAATCTTCTATTACGATGATATACAAACAGAAAAAGTGGTGTTTAATCAGATCACTGATTAAGAAACACCAGCTGCATCCTTAAGCACATTACGCAGATGATCCTCCATAATCATTGAACCGTGGACATTTAACCTACATTTTCTTAATTTCAGTCCTCTTCCCCCCTGAATTGCTGATTTATTGTGTTGAGCTTGTCCTTAATAAAAAAATGATTATAGTACTTTGATATAGATCATAGTACTTTTTTGTAAGAGTAAAATATTGAGTGTGACACTAAATGCATCCCAAGGTGCTAAAAAGATTAGATTATAACCCTTACAAAAATGTACAGTCAGATGTTTTGATATCACGGTAATATTACCGTTTTAATATACTATACCATTTACATGGTATTTCAAATTGCGAAAACATGGTAATACAAAAATTACTCTTTTTTTTCCAAAAAAAACTTTTTTTTATAACATGCAATGGTTATTTTTAGATGATAAAACAACTTAAGGAGGCAACATTATGCCCTTTTACAAAGTCTTGATGAAGTTTTTTTCTAGACATTACACATTATTTTATTATTATTATTTTTTTTTTTTACATATTTTCCATTGTTAGATTAGGGTCCAAATCACTAAAAAACTCTTTTGAAGTAACTTAATAAAATGATAGACAGTGGCTCCACACACAAATTATTTTGAATCTATGTAAGCTCTTTGTGTTGTGACAACACAACTGAATGAGTCTATGTGAAATAGGTATGTCCTGACAAATCAATGTAATTGCTTTCCTGTAACTTAAATCGGTTAAAGTTAACAAGCTTTATTTTTTTTCTCCATTTTTTTAACTGCATTGATAAATTACAGTACTAGGATTTCCAGACTATACACTGTAAAACCAAACAGTACAACTTAGATAAATAAATTGGGTTGCAATTACTCAAAAAAATAAAAACGTTCATTCGCCTTTAATTTTTTGTGTAATTAAAACGAAAATGAAATTTTAAGTTTACAGCAATCAAATGCTTTAATTTATTTTAGTTAGTGCACTCAAAATAGTTAACTGTTACTGTCTGACGTCACGCACGTGCTCCTCCTTCAACTTTAGTTGGAAGTGCGCGAAAACACGCCATGTTTTAGTTGCTCGCCTCTCGGAAAATTTGTTAAGTTTGCCAAACGTGAAAACTCAATCATATTTTATAAGAATATAATAGGTGGTGATATTTTTCGATCGGGAATTTGCAGTGGTGTTGCCTGTGAGGACCTTTGATGGGAAACGCGGCATGCAGTTTTCTGAACCTGCTGGTGACACTCTTTTCTTCGTTGTGCTGCCTAGCATTTTATTCCTCTTCTCTTCGGGCACGCTAATCTGGTAAGTTCCCTGTTTTATTTTCTGCAAATAGTTTTAATGTCTTCGCAGTTAATGTATTTTATGCATTTGAAAGCAAATAAGAATGCCTCGTGAAAAAATGATACATTTTACAAGTGTTGAAGCAACTCTTGTTATTTTTTTTAGATATCAAGTTTGTCTTTTTGCATCGGTTAATGTGCATCGTAGTTATGCATTTGAAAGCAAAAAAGAATATCTCGTGAGAAAATGATACATTTTACAAGTGTTGAAGCAAGTGTATTTGGTTAACGTTAGTTTTTTTAGATATCAAGTCTGTCTTTTTGCTTCGGTCAATGTGAAAATGATACATTTTACAAGTGTTGAAGCAAGTGTATTTGGTTAACGTTAGTTTTTTTAGATATCAAGTCTGTCTTTTTGCTTCGGTCAATGTGCATCGTATTTTATGCATTTGAAAGCAAATAAGAATATCTCGTGAGAAAATGAGACATTTTAGAAGTGTTGAAGCAAGTGTATAGTTAATTTTTTTTGATATATCAAGTCTGTCTTTTGCATCGGTTAATGTGCATCGGTAATCTGCCTAAATTTGCACATAAAAAGTTTTCAGGCAACATGTTTTTATGACCTCAAAATGGCGGGCTGTGACTGAGAATTTATTTGGCACGCGGTTTTCATAGAGGTTAATTTGATGCACTTTTTGTTGTACATTTTTTTTTAGAACAGGCATTTATAAAATTGTATTTAAATAGATTGCCAAAGCAGCTTGTGTTATTTAGTGGAGGCATATTTGTTTTTGCTTAAAATGTGACATTTTAAAAAGCAAATTTTGCAGTATAAAAAATATTTCAATTAAACGTTTAAGATTTCAGAGTGACTGAGCATGATGCCTATTTACACAACTGATTAGCGTCGTGTATTCACATTTTTACTTGTCTTTAGGCAAATATTACAACCTGACTAACTTCTCAATCTCTCTTTTTTCAGGCTAAAAGTGAAGCAGCTGGCAGTTCATTTTGGTATGTTCATGTCCAATTATTAATACACATTCATTGCATAGAGATGCTAAAATGTGATTGAATATTGAGTGCACAACACAAATTGCAGAAAAAAATTAATGTTTCTTTGTTCTTGAAAATGCAGAGTGTTCATCGTGTATCAGAGATGGCTATACAAGACATTACCTTGAGGTAAGCTAAAACATATCAAAAATTAATTTCAAAGTGAACTATCCCTTTAAATGAAGATTCTCATACTCGTGTCTCTAATTCTCACACTGAAGGAAAACATGGACGTCCATGTACGATGAGCTGCCATCCTCAGTGCTCTCCCCGCCTATCTGCAAGAGGATGACTCCAACTTTCTCAAGATGTGGGATGTAAGTGTTGCACTGTTTGATTACCAACAATCTCACATCGCCATTCAGATGTCAGCCTGGTTCAAGTTCCATGTTTTTAATATATTAATTAGAATTGGCTTTATGCACAGCTGCACTACTTCCTGAACTTAAGCCAGCTCCTTGTTTCCTGTCTGCCATTATTGGATAAATAGATTAATTCAGGTGTGCCTGACCTCAGTAGTCACGGCAACAATAATCAGACACACCTGAATTAATCAAGTTTGCCCAATAATGGCAGACAGGAAACAAGGAGCTGGCTGAAGTTCAGGAAGTAGTACAGCTGTGCATAAAGTCAATTGTAGTTACTGTATGGGATAGAATGGTTTGAAATAGATGTAAATATTTGTAACTTATTAGCAGTCATCCTTTGGAAGTTTAGAGTAACAGTTCTTTGTTCTTGTCTTCAGGTTGAACAATCTAATGAGCCAGGAATTGATGATGTACCACTCGGTCTCCTCTCCATTTGTGGCAATTCAACAGATGCCACGTTCTTCTGCCCAGAGAAGATTGCAGTTGTGCTTGAGGGTAACATGGTAATCGATTTTTCCACATTCGCCGATGCATTTAGCATGCTATTTGGACTAACTTACGCATTGGATCAAAGTTACCCAAAAGAGTTGGCCAACACATTTGACTTTACTCAGAAAGTCTTGATGGGTCTGGAGCATGGGAAGCTAAGGCCCAGAGTATTGAGTCTTAAAAATGAGCTTTTTGCAGTGGAGTAACCTCAGTGTTTGAACAACGATTACAAAGGTACTCCTTTATTTGACATTTCATGTAAAATTTCACTCCTTTCACTTTTAGCGCGCACCATAGTGCACTGAATTTTTTTTTTGGAAACAGCTTACTTATGTTTTTTGAAGTATGATTGTTCAACATACAGTTTAAATGTGTTGCTCTTCAAGTTGGCATGTTTGCACTGTTTTGATGTGTTATACAATGACAGACAACGTAGTGCTTTGCAGTTTACACTGTAGTAATCATCTTTGATTTATGTATGCTAATACATAGCCTAGTACATTACATAGTAGATCATTATATGCAGTTCAGTAAATCATTGAGAAATTTGATTGTCAATATTGGATTTTTACACTATTTTCCAATTGTGTAATTCGCAGAACAGTTTCTCAGTTGATTTATTGTGTAAAAAATGACTACCATGTTAGAAATTATATATACCACTCAGATGATGGTTTAAAGACTGTTTATATATAAATATATATATATATATTTTAAATTATATTATAATATATAACTCTTAATATTGTTAAAGGGATTGTTCACTTTGAAAATAATTTTTGATATGTTTTAGCTTACCTCAAGGGCATCTAAGATGTAGGTGTCTTTGTTTCCACAGCATTCTCAATTTTGACATTTTTCAGTCAAACCGTTGTTGTCTATCAGTCATACACTGGAGGCTAAGGGGGTCCACGTCAAAGAGCATGCACAGAGAAGTCCAAATTAAACATGATTTAATGACTTGTAAATGTAAGTACACATTGAAGGCCTAAGACACGAAGCGAGCGGTTTTGTGATCATATTTAGACTGATAGCTAAAACCTATCAAATTAATTTCAAAGTGAACTATCCCTTTAAGGTTACTGCTATGTGTTAATTTTGAATATTGTTTCTACTTGACTGGAAGTGTTTACAGCTGGGAGATACCCATATTGTCCAGTTGATGGTTATCTCAGACCATTTCTGAAGGGCCTTGAGTATTTTGACAAACAATTTATTGTTGGTGTTTTGTGGTTACTTTAATAAAAGAGTTAATTGCATTTAAATTGTCTGTGTTCATCTGTTTTATTTTATTTCAGAATGGGTTATAGTTGGAAATTTAGTTATTTGATGACATAAATCTAAGAACGTACAAAACATAATAAATTGAGTAATTTGTTACAGAGAAATTTTAACTAAAATGTTTTTATGAAGGTAAAATAAATTGTATTCTTACAAAGAAATGCAAGTTATCTTTAATTTTAATAAGTTATGTGAACCCAAAAACTCCTTGTAAAATTACTTGATTAATAATGTTACATTAACTTGTAATATCAAGTTTGGATCAGTTAACATTATCTAGTACCATTTACTTAAAAAAATTATGTTACTTTAACTTATAAAATTTAGTTAATATCACTTAAAATTTTCGATGTAATCAGTTTCAACTATTTTTTTGAGTTATATTAACTTATCCGGTTTTACAGTGTAGTTATTAGTTAATAATACCACTTTATAATCATTTAAAAGCTAAGATTTATACACATTTTCAACAAGACGACACATCTTATAAACACAATTACACTATAAAGTCTTTCGCATTCCTAATTTTCTCAAAAACATAAATTATCACTTAATTTCAACATTTATTATCTCTTAATTCAGCTATATGCAAAGCATCCAGGGAACTAACAAGCACCGCCCAGTTTCAGTTAATGTAACACAAACAGATTAAGTAAACTCTATTTAAGCAGATTGAACACAATCAAATTAAGTTTGGACAAAATGTATAGCAATTATGTTGCTTAAAAAATCCCCCGACTTTCCTAGCAACATTTTAACAGACCTTTTGTTTAACATTTAAAGGGTATCTCCACTTGTTTCAATTTTTACTGATCGGATAGTAGCAAGCGAATCCGATCTGATAGCAACTGGATCAATGAAAGCACATGAAGAGGTCCATCTGGCTGTAATTGGAGGATATATTTTGACCCGTATTTTATTCATGTGCCAAACAGATACGACAAACCAGACGGTGGCGATGCAGCAGTGCATTGTGGGGTCAAACCGGTTCAGAGATGACTCTCTTTACAGCACTTAAGAGGTGTGCACTGCAGCACGTTCTCCTTGTCTTAATGAATAAGGTGAGTGTTTTTACGATGGTGGAGAACAGTAAGGATAAAAGTAGTATCGTAAATGCAAATCACAAATCATAAAAGTTTAAACTTGGAAGTTGAAGGGCTGGTCTGAACACGAGGGAGATTAGGAGAGATTAAAACTGCTTAATACCTGCATCATGTCACTCCGTGAGCCGCGACAGGAAAGGTGACTTTAGCTGAGAAAAAAGCCGAGCTGTCCGTCACCTCCGAGGAAGTGTTTGCCCTGAAGTGATTAACACACCATCTTTCTTCATTTGTTTTTTGTTTTTTTGTCCTTTTTGGAGCTTTACAGATGTTGTCGCCGTAGAAAACAACACTTATTATGTGTCATGCAGAAAACTGTTGAAGTTATGCGTTTCTTCATCAAATAATCCCGAAATAATTAATCACGGTTATCATTTTTTTCAGCATTCAGTGTTTTCAGTGTTGATGATAATAATAATAAATGTTTCCTTAGCAGCAAATCTGAAGGATCATGTGATTTCTGAAGGATCATGTGACACTGAAGTTATGATGCAAGAAAATTCAGCTTTGATCACAAGAATAAATTCCATTGTAAAATATATTAAAATAGAAAACACTTACTTTATATTGTAACAATATTTCACAATCAATCAATATTTTTTCTAATATTTTATTAATATACTTTGCCTCAATATGCAATGAATTTAAAAATTGTGGACCGCGCTTTTATTTTATATCATAAAACAATATAACTTGAATAGTGTAATAATGCGCGTAATAATAATAGTGTAATAATTAGTGTTTTAGACATCTTTTTATCAAAAAATAAAAAAGTAGAATTAAACAAATTACAAGTTTTATATAAAACATGTTCTATTTGGATGGATTAAATTTTACACCTTTTCAATTGTATTTTTATTTAACTTCAGCATTGATTTTTCTATGAAATCACCGCAGCTTATTTTATATTCTACTAAAAAGCAACAGCATACAGGTTTGTAACAGCATGGCTTCATGAATTTGGTTTTTTTTTTACTTAAAAACTAGACGTTTTTTAAAGGTCAGCTTCAATATATGATTATTTTGGTCTTATTTTGGTTTTAATAGACCTCAGGAACACTCTTAGGTCAAGAAAAAAAAATGTTCCCCTTGATATGACTCCTTAGACATGAAAAGTGTATTAATACCCTGTTTTGGTGCTAATAGCACAAGTGGACCTGAGGGGAAAACATAGATAAATAATAAAAATATATATGATATAACCCCTTTAAAGCGCATAAAAGCAAAGAGCATATGAGTGATCTCAGTACGCCACGGCACAAACTGCCTCGGAGATAGACACCATGTTGTGTTATGGTTTCCATAAACCACACATCCTCAACAAAGTGATTTCCTGCTGGCAAAAATCAATAGTACTCCTGTTATGTTTACATCACGACGGCAGACAGACGTGGCCAGATCAAGTCTGAAAACAATCTCGTCTGCTTCGTTTCATCTTCGCTGGACAACAGAGCTCACCTGCTCCCGAAAGTTCATTTTCAGAAAAAGAGCAAGCCTCGCCTCGGGTCAAGGATCGGGAATAGTGTGTCCTGCTCAATGGGGCTCTTGTGTTGTGTCTGCGTGCGCGCATTAGTCAGGCGGGACCTTTATGGGGGAAATATGAAGTCCTGCCAATTGCCTCGTAAATAGCTGCAAAGTTGAACATTACCACGGCTCCATTTACTTTTAGAAAGTGTGCATGGTTCACACTCTTAGAAGAAAAGGTTCTTTAGAACCTTAAAAGGTTCTAAAGCGCTACGTATTTGGAACCCCTAAAATGCAATGCATGTGTATGATCACAAAATTCAAGATATGGGGGTTAAAAAAAAATGTATTTGTAATTAATCAATATCACACAAAGAGTGCCTTTCAGTTTTTATCCTCCAAAAATCTGGATGATTAAAATGTGATATTAAGTTACTACAACAGTAGTAATTACAACTACAATATATGAATGAATAATAACCTTTAAAGAACCTTTATGCCAAAAGTGTTCTTTCTTGTCATTACTGAACCTTTTTTTTTTTTAGCATAAAATGTCCTTTGGAGTTGAGTACAGAACCCTATGCTACATATATAGAGTGCTTTTTTCTAAGATGCATCTCGGTTAGCACACCATATTCTTTATATGACGGATATCTCCAATTTAATAAACAAGTTGAGACACTTTCAACAAACCCTACACTTTAGATCAGTAATGTATTTTAAATGTATTAAAAGTTATTTAGTTAATTAGGTATTTTAAAGAAATCAAAAGAACATGACAATCCATCAATACTTTTCTAACTGTGATTTTTCACATTTTTTATGCATACATCTATAGGCAACTAAAAATGAAGTAAACATTATTGGACTAAATGTTCAAATGGATGCTTTCTCTGCACTTTTACTAACATAAAACACAGATATAACAACATTAAAAGCTTGATTTATAAGCACATGGGGTCTATAAGCTTATCAGGCTTCCCCAACACTCATCATGCTCCTATCTTTAATATTTGACCCCTGTTTTGTGAAAAAAATACATGAAATTTCTTCATTTGTGACAGCGACAAACATCGAACCTGCAATGAATCAAAAAGAACTGAAAATTCCCTGCAGTGCTAGTTTCGATAATGAAACGGAGGCAAATATGACCCCATTACTGTATTGTTTCCAGACACCTTCGCTGAACTGGAGCGCACCGGCGGCCTACAGTCACGAGTACAGTACCACAGCCCCGACCCTGACGTGACCTCTGTCAAAGGCTTCAATAGGATAGTCAGCTAAAGACCCCCAGTCGCCACCCAACACGGCCCCGGTGACTCCAATTAAGGCGGCCCGACGTGACAAAAAAAAATGAGTGTTTTGGCGGGGAGCCGTAATTGCGTGGATGCGACCCATTACCTGCCCTTCCCAGGTGTAATTATTAAGCCACTGGTGCCGAACAAATGAGTGGAGTACAAACCTGGAGGCGTCTCTCCTCCAGACCAACAGCTGCGAAACACCAACCTCTCCGGCTGATGGAGGTCCCTGAGATCCTCGCTTACACCTCAGGTACAACATTTCAGCTCACGACCATTCCTCAAACGTGTGTGTGATTCAGAGAACGAACGTATATTTAAAAAAAAAAAAAAAAAAAAAAAAAAAAAAAAAAGTGCAGACGCCTCTCCATAAATTCCTAAATTCCAAAAAAGCTAAATTACAAAATATAACTCCATCTAAGCTAGAAATTCCAGATGTGAAATTTATAAATCAAAAATGATCTTGAAATTGATCTATGGCTAAGCCACGCCCTCAAACGCGATGAGCCAATCACAGTGCGCAGCTAACCCAATACACTCGATATTCTCTGGTTCCACATCCATTGAAATGCATTGCAGTTACTCAGTTCTCATTCAGTATTTTCTT